CCCCAAAACCCCAAAACCCCAAAACCCCAAAACCCCAGCAGAGAGTATCTGGGTTGAATCTTTTGGATCTTTTAAAATTCTAATACTTTCAAATTGTATTATTTTAGCCTCTAGACTTCTTTTTCATCAGCAATAGTTTTAGAGAATTTTTCTACCTTCTCTGCAAAGTCATTAGGTACGATGAAGACGACTCACAGCACCAATAACGGAAACACACTCGTTATGATTATCTGGATCCACAGGTTGTCATAGTTGCCTTTGCGGATGTCAAGGAGTTCCGAAATGGCTCCTCCTGATTGGTAGCTGACCAGGTAGGCCAGATTGATCACTGACATTATGAACTCGTAAACTGTGGCTTCAAGATTCTTGGGACAGATTCTGGTGGCCATCACCATAAGTGGCATCAGATGAATCTCATTGATAAAACTGTAGAAGCATTCATTAAGGATATAAAACACCTTATTACTGATTCCAATTTTTGAGTTTAATTGGAATATTATGATTAACTTCATAGCTTGAGCTAAGCTAAAGAGCACTGTAGTCACTGTAATAAGTCTCCTCAAAGACACATGCAGAAGGAACTTCCTGTACACGATTACTGCCAGAATGTTCACTACAAATGTGGCCAGTGATATGTTCGACATGAACTGGTACGAAAACTTGAGAACATCTGTCTGGAAAGTAAACATCACTGAGTCGATAGACGGAGTTAGCAACACCAAAAACATAAATACTGTTGGCTTGAATATAAACCCTTGTTTCAGATATTTCCACAGAATTCTGAACACTCTCTTGAAGTATCTGCAGTACCCTCCTCTTCTCTCATATGACTCAGGAGTAACAACAGCAACTTTGCGTTTCTCATAAAACACGAAGGCTGTAACCAGAGGGACAATGCTAATGGTGGCACTGACTTTGAAAATGAGTTGGTTCGACCATTTGCCTTTAAGAAACCCTCCAAGCCAAATTCCGAGCATTGAGAACAGATAAGTAGCACCCAAAAATATGGACACAAATCCTGCAGCATTGGCTTGATTTTTCTTTGAAATTTTCTTATTTCATGCTATTATAAACATGTGATTAGAAGAAGGTTGCACCTTATGGTTAACTTGTCTAATATACTATCAAAAGTTAATATCTCTTTTGAGGTAAAACTCACAAAAACTAGGGGAGTATTTAACAAATAAATCTAAGTTTAATGAAGAAAAAGATTTCCAAATTTGTACAATATTTAGGCTGAATCCTCTATATCTTCCTCATCGGTTGAAGTAGTGCTTTTCTCTTCCAAGGCTTCTCTTGAGTCGGGTTGGCGATTGGGAGTGATTCACATCTGTTCATTTTTGCCACTATTTTCTCTGAGTTTATGGTAGTCATCGCTCTGGTTGATACTTTCACCAGAAAATTCTCTTTGTTTAGCTTCTTCCTGGTTTTCTATTTCTTGAGAAACTTCTTTGTTAACATTTTTAGAAATTGTCATCTCGACCATCAAGGCTTCAGCAATGGTATTTATAATACCGATTGATATATTAATTGAGAGCTTAACAATTATTGCTGCTACCAGTCCTTCTACCCAAAATCCCATACAGATCCACCCAATTGTGCATGCAGCTGTTGCAATCAGTAGATTAGACTTTCTTCTGTATCCAAGTATATAAACGCAGTCCACCACGAAGCCAAAAACGACTTTGAATGCCCACACATAGTTGATAAACCCATTGAAAATAGACAGCTGGCCAGGGGTCAGCCCGAGGTCATCGTACAGATACGTCATGAATGGGAGGTTGGGAATGATAATAAGGCCCTGGAACATCGCAAATAGCACCAAGCCAGCTGTGTTTCTTCTTTCTATAGAGCTCATACCTACTCTCGGGATGTCTACTGGCCTATTTATAGGCGATAAATCTGGGACATGCTCCCCATCTTCCATATTGCCTTCTAATATCTCCATATGCGCTAAATATGTATAATTTTATAATCCAAATTCCAATAAATTCTTCTGAATTGGGGTTTTGGGGTTTTGGGGTTTTGGGG